CAAAGTTATACATGAAATACGCTAATAATAAGCCATCGCGAGTCAGGGGGATGTAAGAAGACAAATAGAACAAATCCAGATTTTTTTCAATTTTTTTGTTTGTCTGTTTGTCTGTTTGTACGGGCTAATCTCCGAATCTATTGGACCGATTTAAATGAAATTTTGCATGGTGGTACCTTATATCCCCGGACAACGTCTTAGATATTTTATATCCCGGAAAATTAAATGGTTCCCGTAGGATAGTTAAAAAACTATTATAACTTATACAACTTATGCACCTAATTTAGTAAAATTTAACATTCTGATACCTTATATTGCCGGTCAAATAATAGGTTACTTTTCATCCGGGAAAAATGAACGTTTCCCGTGGAAACTGATAGATTTCTATTAGTGTTTTTCTAGAGGCGAACCCGAGCGAAGCGAGGGTGAGCCGCTAGTACATATAATAAAATTGTAACTAAGCTGAATCTGTACATTAAATATTATTTGGAAAATCTTATTGAAATAAACATTATTATCGATACAGAGGCCGAATCTATAGTTTTTAGATTTTTTTCTGTCTGTCTGTCTGTTACCGCATCACAGAAAACCCACTGGAGGGATTTTGATAAAATTTGGTATGGTGATAGCTGGTTATCCGGGTCAATATATAGGATACTTTTTACCGCGGGAAAATGTCTCATTTCTGAGAAAAAATACAAGTAAGAGTATACTAATATGTAAAACCTACGAATTTAGTTTTTCGTCATCTGAAGGCGGGCGGAGCTGCGGGCAATGCTAGTATACTATAAATTATGAACATTTGCAAGGTTGTGCACTAATTACAAATATCTTTTTGATTAATTATTGTATTATATTCTTTTAAGAATATTTCACCAACAAAACATTGTTTTAAAAACGCTTCCGTGGTTAGTTTCCGGGAAATCAATTGTTAACTGACATGCCGGCATATCCGCGATCCTTCAAGCGTGTTTAATTAATTCTACTAACATAACCTCACAATGTACTTGTACTGGCTTTAGAACATAACTGCCCTTATTGTCCCGACTGGCGACTCCCGAGGTGGGCGTAAATAGCGACTGCGACGCAGTTTATACTAATGCAGCTACTTACGATCTAACTATTTTTAATATTTGTAAGTTATTATGTTCAATAAAATAATATTTAAATGAAATTTAATGAAATTGACATTTTTGAAATAGATGATACTTTAATCAAGTATACTCGTAAACATTAGATTTTAGATAGACATTTTTTGTTTTTATTCTTAATGCTGTCATCGCATCGCATTGATTCTGAAATATAAGCGTGCTTTATAAATACAACATCACGTTTTCTATTTAAAAAAAAGTTTTAAAGTTATATAATATTAGCAGAACTTGCGGCTTCGCTCGCGCTAAAACTACAAAAAAACTCTAAAAAGGTAGGTTTCATACAAACTTTCATCCCCTATTTTATCCCCATATGGTATGAACATGGACGTATTAGAGACTGGACCTGACATAAAATACAAATGTATGAAAACTAGTTCAACCAAGTGACGCATAACGCACACAAAGATTTTATTACATTATTATAAACACTGATACACAATACAATATTTCTAGTGCTTGAACGTAATCGATAAAATACATATATCGATGAACTAATGAATGACATTTTAGACATTTGTAAGCATAGTCATCATATTTTACTACTTTTAATTTAAAATATCTGTAATTATATAATAAATTAAAATAAATGAATTAATGAGGCAATAATAATGTGTCAAATAATAATTAAATAATAAATAAATAAATATGTTGGGACATTAACACACAGCGCCATCTAGTTCCATGGTAAGCTACGAGGCTTGTGTTATGGATACTAGATAGTTGATACACTACACATATATAACTTTAAATACATACATATTATAAATATAAACACCCATGACTGGAGTACAAACATTTGTCATCACACAAATGAATGCCCCCAGCGGGACTCGAACCCGCGACCGCTGGCACAGCAAGTAGGGTCACTACAAACTGAGCCAAACATGTCATCAAACATATTTTTTTTAATTTGATTTATATAAATACGATGGCATTGATGGATACATTCTGTTGGCCTATAATAATGTTAATGAACAAATGAATATCGGGTGTATATTCCATTAATATATAATAAATATTATTTTGTAAAGATTAAAAAAATATTAAGCTAATTTAATTAAATAAAGTGATTTTGTTGATTCTGTTATTGAACTATTTTAATTGGCAATTGATTGTCTCGGGTAGTTATAAAAATATGATACTTTCCTAATATTGCTCAGTTCTTAATAAACATTTGTGAAATTAGGAAAAAGAAAAAATGATCGCAAATTGTGAAAAAGTGAGTGTTGGATCGTGAAAGTAAAATAATTAGTGCAAGTGGTAAAGTGTTTTATTACAAATCGCCAACCCAGAAGTTTAGTGCTATAACATTATTGTTTGATTTTGTGTAATTTATGTGTTGAAATAAAATGATCTTTATTATTATTACAATGGAATAATATTCCAGTGTATAAATGTGGTATAAAAAAAAAAGTACACATACTAATTATAATTTTTGCATTTATATTTTTATTTGATTCAGAAAATATTATAAATTTATTGTCATCAGATTGTAGGATACTGTGATAAAATATTTTATGTTATTGTACTGTACAAATAACACAATTCGTTCAGTTATTTCGTCAAATATCGATATATTTTTCGACATTGTCAAGCACAAGTCGCTGTCAAATGGACTCACTCGACAGTTTTGTCATTTGTTCTGAATGGTATAATCCTGCCCGTTTATGATGATTGTCAGATGTCAACAATACATAGAAATATCGACTATATTTAACATAGTTGGATAATATGACATTTTATTTTAAATTAAATTGAATTTTGTGATAAATAACAATAAATGTAATAAAATAATGTATTTACAAGTGAAAAGAAATAGTGTTGCTTCCGCCGTTATAGTTTTCACACCATTTAACAGAACATTTAGTCATTTTTGGGAGATGTTTTGTTGACAAGTAAGTGCTTGAGACTGACACAAAAAACAAACGACCTAGGCTAAAATTACCCTGGTTACTAACATGACCGGTGAAGGTACGTCCGCTTATATGTCTGGTCCAGTGGTTAATTCGTTCATGGGTATGAATTTCGAAAAGTGCTAAAACACGTATTAATTATTTAATTATATTGAAGAGCATTAATACCAAGTTTCAAGTAATTCTGAACATAAATTTTTTTTGGGTTGTATTTTAACGTGTTTTTCCATGGCAATGAGATAATCTTCCGCGGTAAAAAGTCACTCTCCAGCCCTCTAACTATCTCCACACAAAAAATCACGCCGATCCTTCTCTCCGTTTCGACCTGAAAGAAGGAAAAACAAACAAATAAATAAACAAACAAACAAACACACTTTCATATTTATAATATTAGTATAGATGTTATCCATATGAACTATGAATTTTAACACGTTTAAGCGTTATTTAAATAAAATATCTACTGCCTGCTCCATTTTATTTCAAATAACACCATAAATATTTTAGGTATGTAAATGATCCAACTTTGAATAGGAGCATGACAAATGGCGTGTTCAGCTGTAATTTAAAATTTAAATATAATTCAAATATTAAATGTAAAAAAAAGGTTATAATTGTATTCTTTTCATTTTATTAACAATGTTTGATGCTTTGTCCAAAATAATAAACCTTCGATTATAAAAAATATATTATAAAACTACAATGAAGTATGAAAAATACTTTTCATGGCCCGAGTGTAGGCTTAAATTGTTTTTGACGTTTAAGTACGAAATCTCGCATAAGAACATTTTGAGTAATGAAAGTATTAGTACTTACCTTATTATTAGTACTTACCTAAGTTGTCCTCTATAATACACTACTGATGCCCACCTACAGATAGAGCGTCTTACTGAACCAAACTTTAACTAAATCTCACGGTTTGGGTGCCGACATGAAAGACTTATGCGAACTTAATAAACTAAGGAGGGGACTTAAAGCATACGCTCTTGCTACAGTTAGGGTTTAATCGAATAATTAGAAACACCTAAAGTTATCACAAGTATTAAATAAACTAAAATTAGCCAATTGTTAAAACTATGTATTGAGATGTATATTGTTACTATTACGAACATATCAAAAAAAGAATAACATCAAAATATCATTTGAAGCAGCTAATGTGTTCAAAAATACGATGCTCTCTCGGAAGAACAATTTTAAAGACAAAAACAAAAGAAAATATCTCGTGTCAGCTCAGTTTTATATATTAGTATAGAATATAGATAGATGCTATTCTGAAGTTTTAAGATGATTTAGTTTTAAATAATTCTTCTAAATTGACGCTATTTGACAGTTAGGGTTGGATTCATTTTCCAATTAATACTCATTAGAAAATAAAAACTGCACAGTGTTGTATATATTTTGAACACCTCTCAGAACCATGTGATGGTGTCCATGTCAAATGTATCAACATAATATTTTGAGCAAGGTTCCAAGAAGAATGAATTAATCACCTGGACTGTTACTTGTTTACGTTGAACTCACAAATTATTGGGGAAAAGTATATTCAGTTCTAAGAATTTCTATCGCTATTATCTACAGTAGAATGTTATTTCTGAAATATGGACAGATTTGGATTTAAAAACAACAATAAATAAAAACTTTTACCCTCGATACACGAAACCTTAGTTTCAGTTTAATTTCACAAAGTTGTAGAACTCTTACTGATTAGATTCGTGACACCTGAAGCGCTATAAATTAATTTCTGCGAAACTTACTAAGATTAAACAACTCAAATATAAATCGATTTTTTTTTACTTTATTTCTTAAGATGTTTTAATTTGGAGCATTTGTCATTCATGCGAGAATTTAAGATAATTGTTATATATACTTATGGTAAACTGATACAGAAAAAACAAATTTTTAAGCTACTTAATTGATTTTTATATGATATGCTTAGCTAAACTTGATGGAGTGAAGACGTACATGAGGATGCGAAGGGTGCCAAATCATTTGCAAGTAAAGGTAATCAAGTGGTTTGACTACCTGTGGCTGACACAGAAGTGCTCCGACGAGGAGAAGGCGGTATCGTGCCTCCCTGATAAGCTGAAGGCGGAAATTGCTATCAATGTCCATCTTGATACTTTGAAGAGGTACGTTATTTATGGATACAAATTAATCTTTTTCACATTAACCTTATTAAAAGAGTTTTTTAATAATTTAACGTAACGTATTTAGTTTAGTATTGTTATAAAGGTATTTTGTGCATTGTAACTGTACACTTATTAAGTCTAAAATACAAAACTGTGCTATTAGATGAGACTACCGGACGTCTGCCTTCTCAACAGTCTCACATTGAATATTTGACGATTGGTGACTTGCCTTCCACTAGATGGGCCCCAACAAAGCGGCATAGTGCCTTGGGCGCAACATCGGCGTGGTCGGCTAAGGGTGTCGAGAGATGTGTCGGTTTTACCATCGCGAGAGTACTCGTTAGCGGCTTTCCCCCTTATTACGCAGATTGAGCACTTTCACATTCATCCTTTCGAGCACTTGGCTCTTGTTCTCCACTTTAGACGTTCAATGAAGGAAAGCCAGAGGCGAGGGATAGATAATATTTCCCTCGGGAGGTCTCAGGTCCGTGGTGTCGCCACTCACCAAAAGCTCGCCACAAGCAGCCCTGCGGGCTTATTATAAATGTTTACAAGAAAGTTTACATAACAATGTAGGTCTAATCATAATATGATAAATTTATGGCATCATATTGTCATTATTATGATGATTTTAGGGCGAAAAAGTTGCAAGCTAAATATAGCTACAATGACAGCATCGCAATTCAGGACGAGCAGTTAGTATTTAATATTCCGTGTCGTATAATTAAAAAACAGAAACACTCGCTTTTTACGTCCATGAATTATTCAAAAGCGTTCCTTCATACGATCCGTAAATTTTTGTCGCCAAATAGCTTTAGAATTTTTGTTTTTATTCTTAATGCTGTCATCACTGTTTGCAGTCTGTATTCATACTGCATTGATTCTGAAATATAAGCGTGCTTTGAAAATATGATATCACGTTCTCTCTTCAAAAGAATTTTGAAGCTACATAACATTTATAAGCTGAAATAAAAAAGTTATTGTCAACTCCTGTGTATTTATAATGAAACTATGACTATTATACATGATCATGGTCAACTTTGAATTAGAAGATAAAGAACAAGATGTTTCAGCTGTAATTACATTTTGAATATGACATTAAAAAGTATCTTTGCTAAAAGAAAAACAAACTGCAAGCCACTCAGACCTAAGAAATACATAAAAGAAAACACAGGCAAGAAGTATAAATCTATATTTTTGGCGCCAACTTACATCTTAAGCATCCCTGAAATGTCTTAGAACTTATGTTAAAAAATATTTAATACTTATATATTAAGTATAAGTTATTGCGTGCGATAATACTAATTTTAACAACATATAACAAAATGTTTTAAATACATATATAGGGTGGAGATCTTTCAAAACACGGAGGCTGGATTCCTGTGCGAGCTTGTTCTGAGACTTCGGCCAGTCTTATTTTCACCTGGAGATTTTATCTGCAGGAAAGGTTTGTATACCAATATGTTATTTTATTTTTATTTTTTTATTATTTTTGTTAGAATAAAGTAGATATAATACTGTTTCTTATAAATAACGCTATTTTCTTAGGTGAAGTTGGCAAGGAGATGTATATAGTCAACCGAGGCAAACTGCAGGTGGTCGGAGATAACGGAAAAACAGTGTTAGCGACACTCAAGGCGGGTTCTTATTTTGGCGAAATTTCCATTCTGAACATGGGCACAGCAGGTAAACAACTTGGTAAATATCGCCACGGCCCGAGACGCCACGCCATTATTATTCTACTTTATTGTTCCTTGAAAAGTTCTTAAAAGCAAAAGCAAACGTATCGAGGAGACGCTGCAATCAGGCCGAGGGAGCGGCCACGACGCTACTAACAGGTTTTGGGACATCATTCACAGACGATTATTATCGCTTTTCGTACATTTTTGCTATTGGCTGATATGTCTCTAGCACAATGTCTAAATATCGGATAGCGATAATATCGTTATGTGACTAAATGTTTATAGGGAACGCTTTCACATCTTATTATTTCTTTAACACATTTTTACGCATTTAAATTGTTACAACATTATATGCAATGTGCGAACATTTTTCCAAATTTTACTTCTTCAACAATAATTACAAAAATTCATTAATCTGTATGGTAAGCTATGCTTTTATTGATTTTAAATTTATTTTTGTAGATTTTAATTATGCTTTTCACTTTCATAACAGGCAGCACTGAGCGTCATGTGGTTTGTTTGCTTTTAGTATCATCTCCTTTGGTTGTATTGAAGGCAGTGTCCCCGACCGCTTTGCATCCTCCCTAAATATTTCATATATTTGGCGTGACTTCTTGGTGCATGTTACCCCCAAGGATATTTTACCGTTTATATTACAGAATTATATTAAAGATTTTTGTCATCCTATTCAGCTGCGTTAAAGTAATAGTTTTTTTAGTTTAAACTATCATTGCCGTAAATAGGCATCGTTAAATTTGTAGAACAGCTTAGTTCTTTTACTAATAAAATTTCTTATTTACAATTTTTTGATCCCTAAGCGCTTTGTCTTGAAGCACAAATCGACCTCGATAGAATTCGCTTCTTATAGTTATGTTAAAATTGTTATGATTCTTACAACCATAATATTATCTTCATTTATCTTCAAGTCTGTGTATATTGAGGTTTTGTAAAGTTCTGTACCTTCCTATTTAATATTAAAATATGTAGTAATATACTTCTTCTGTCAGTACTATGGGGTGATTTTCGAAGTTTTCGGACTATGAACTGCTTTGGCTTCACTCGGTAAATATTGGGTCAAAGCCGAAACAGTTCATGAAATATATGAACCGAGCACCAGTTGGCACGGAGTGTGTGGATGACACGTCGACAGGCAACCGGCGGACAGCGTCAGTGCGCTCCGTTGGATACTCGGATCTGTTCGTGCTCAGCAAGAAGGACATGTGGGACGTCCTCAAGGAGTATCCTGCTGCTAGAGTCCGCCTTGAAGCAATAGCCGTCAAGAGACTTGAGAAATATAAAAAGGCACCTCTTGAAAAAGGTATTGCTTTTATTCTAATCATTTATTTTACAAGTATTAGAAAAAATTTATTGAAATGATTTCTGAAACACGTTATATATTTTTATTTATGAGCTAATAATACTGACTGAAGACTATCTTCGTACCATAGAGGCATCGTGTTCTGTACGAGCTTACAGCGTTGATGGCAGTTGGAATAGATTGGTGAATGGAGAATACTTAATGTGTTATAGTAAAAATCTTCTTCGTCGTTCACTCACTGATGAGGATCGCGACCACTTATGATTTTTTTCCAGTCAGTTTCTCGCCTACTGACTTCTTTATTGCGTCCGACTACCTTATAGGTGCACTTCCCCTTGCGCATTTACCGTCAATTTGGCCTATGATAATTAGTTTCTTTAGACTATGCTTGGATGATCGCATAATATGTCCAAAAAATCTTAGGGCCTTCTTTTGTCAGAAAGTACGTAAAAGTATAGTAAAAATATGTTATAAAAATATAAAAGCATATTAAATAAATAAAATTGCAAGGGTTGAAATTTAATTTAATAAAGATTTACATTTGATCAACACATCCAGTGGCAATGGGACGGTGCCATTCTACGCCAGGATTAGTAGAGAGAAGCGGGCGCGTGCCCATTGAGGAGATGCAGCTCCCGCCCATGGCGATACCTCCACCGATACTCTCCTCACACCCGCCTTCCTACCGGGACCAGCTATATAGGTGAACAAAATATCAGTCAATATTAAATGATTATATTAACTTTGAAATTTATCGATACGAAAATATGATACATGAATTTGTTTTAATAAGTTTTGTTGTAACAAAAATATATTTTTTTTATACGTGATTTTATATTATGTAAAAAAGAATACTTTAAAATTTATTTCTGCGTGCAACTTTATCAGCAGAGAATTATTCATATAAAATTATTTGATTGACTATTTAAATTCCACAGTTCTTCAGTAAGCCCCCTTCGTGTAGCGTCTCCTGTAGCATCATGCGCGTCTAGTGCCCGCAGTAGCGCGGCGGGCGGCGGCAGCGTGGCGGCGGTTTCTTCTACGTCACGAGTCACGCACGAGACGCACGAATCACTCGAGTGCGAGATAAAAAGACTGCGCGAACGGCTCTACACCGTCGAGACAGAAAACGCTGCCATGTCCGCTAAACTCAACCAACAACAATGGGAAGTTGACCAGAGGTACCATAAAATCATGGTCATATCAACTTATCATCTCATCTCTATCATGTTTTTCTTATTTTAATATAAATTATTCATTGGTATATTTTTATCATCAAATAATCATTTCTGGTTCGCCTTATAAATAAAGCTTTCAGCCAATAATTAATAGTCAATTATAAGTTATCTAGTCTCGTTTTTATCGCAGGTTGCAAGAGATTGAAATGCAAATCTGCGGTGGTAGCTCCCTAAGTTCGCATGAGGACAACGAGAGAAATCGCGAGAGCATCATTTAACGGTGCGCCTCGCCCTCGCGTGCGCTTCCGCCACCTCGCTTGCCGCCACGCCTGCTCCAACGCCTGCCCGTCTGTTGAGTGAGACCAAACGAACTTTCCTATTCATTCATTGATCGAGTACGTGGACATTATTGAAGTGTTTTATGGTAAATTAATACTTAAATACGAATTAACTTTATCAAATTTATATACATATACTTAGTATATACAACTCGCTGTAATTGCCGAGTGTTCGTGGAGTGAGATTATGCCGAGACAATACTATCTTTAATGTTGATTAAGTCGAAGTGTGAAATGGACGTCGAATTGTTCAGTTTAGGGCATTTTAACATTTGTATGTTGTACATACTGTGTTAATGGATATAATTTTGCAGAATCTCTAGGATATCTGCGGAATGATATGTGTTGTTTAAAGACTTTTCTGGTGTTATCTTGTATGTCAAAAATAATTATATATTAATTTTATTGGTACTATTATATCAAAAGTAAATGTATGTGCCAACTCTAATTTGGTTATAGGTAAATAATATACTTAAAGCCAACTTCATTGTAATTTACAAAATGGAGCTTTAATATAATTATTGTAGAGTCCAGGACTTGTCATAAAAAAGTTACTTTAAATTCTCATGTATTTGAATTCGTATTTAATTTATTGTTTACAATTTATAATTATTATGTAATGTGTAGGTAGTACCTTTATTATCAATAAATTTAGTATATAATCTATGTATATTCTTGAACTTAAGAGTATTGCAATTCTGAAGCAGTTTTGTCCGAAGCATGATGCAACAGATAGAATGTTGCAATTTGTTATATAAAAGTATATACATATATTAACATACGTAGCTAATTGATAATGCAGATAGTTAAGTTTAAACACAACTGCCAGATAATATGTAAGTAGTTAAAATGTTTTAATGTAAAAATATTAATCGAAATCCTACAATGTTTTGTACTTAAATTCTTTATAATAACCTACATTTATTTATAAAAAAACATGATATCATTAATTCGTCTACAAAGTATTGTGAAAAGTTACAATTTAATTATTTTCGCTCTTCTTTTTTATGAACTAGGAATATGAATGGTCGTGTTTAATCTCAAACGAACAAAAATTTATTAATTATTTAACATAAGTATTGATAATGATTGGAATAAGGAAATTTGTAAATACTTATCTTCGATACGTATTTATAAGCTGCAGTTTTTCAAAGGGATGGTTTTGTTAGCCACGAGCGACCCAGTGACGGACGAGGTGTGGGCCACATTGTGGAGAACGAATTTCTATTATGTAAAAATTTGTGTAACTAATCCTTATATTGTACGAATACAGTAAGCATTTGAAATAAAATTGTTATGATAATTTTTTGAATATAAAGCATGGAAGATGATTGTGTAAAATGTCTGTTCTTCTTGATATTAAATAACGAAGTGTGTAATATTCGTACTGAGCGTGAATAAGTGGATATTAGATGATTTTTTTTTGTTTTTTAGAGTAGCTACTTTAAAGAATTCTCATTTTAAATGCTAAGTTAAATTATTCATTCAAAATAGGCCAAAGGCATGTTGAGTTGTCAGCTTATTCACGTCGAGTATCTATATATTACATTTCTATATGTGTCACTGTTAGTAATTAATTCCAACAAGTTAACGACAATGACGACAATCAGCGAAATTTGGGTAATTAGGAAAGTTATAGTTCAATCAAAAGCTTCATTTTCTAACTACCCGACGATATAATAGATAGGATACAATTTTTAAATGTAAATAAAAATTTATTTATTGTTATATATTCCATAAATTTTTCTTCTTATATTTCTCGATTATAAATTGGTAACGAGATGCATTATGCGATCGTTTATGAAAGGGCTTTTTATCATATATGTAAGTTATTGTGACCGTACGTTTGCAGGAGGAACTCCTTGTTCATACTGAATTCAAGATTTTGCATTCGTTTGTTTATAAACACATTTAATACTTCTCCTTTGTGTTCGCGAGGAACTGAAGTTTCAATATACAGTTAACGCAGATGAGAGTGGAATGATTTAGTGATATATTGCGGAAATCAGGCTTGTGGAACTTAAATTGGGAATTCAATTATGTATGCACTCAATTCATTTCATTGTTAATAAAAAGATTACGATAATGCATTACATTTCTTTTATTTTAACAACACCCTGGTATAAAACTTTATTTAGTTAATTATTTTTAACTACAAGGATAATTCATAAATATATACGAAGTATAATGGTATTATATGTTCTTTGCAAACAGTTCTGAAATTCGAAACTTTAGGTTTAAAACCTTAGATGTTGTTTTTTTGACATATACCCGTGAAGTATAAACTATTTTGTAAAACAACGAAACACTTTTCCTGTTTTAATCGTTTTAATGCCAGATGTAATTAATTTTATACACACCACAGAAAATCATATGTCCCGCCCAAACGTCAAATATAGTCGTCGTCTTTTCCTGCGTGCCTGGCACCTGCGTAGACGAACACCACAGAGGTTGTACGAAAGCGCTCGATGTCTTCGACTAAACTAACGGCGCGTAACAATTTATTAAAAAATAAAAACTAAAAAAAATAGAAACCGACTTCCAGGCACTAAAATGTAAGAAATAACTAAACGGAGGTTTTCATTTAGAATAGATACATAATCAGATATTTTCGAAGTCGGTGCCAGCCTCCAATATTTTAAGATATGAATATGTAATAGGTAAATATGTATTTTGCGTATCGAAATATATTAGATTTGTTTTGCAGCGGCTGACATACATAAAAAAAAAGATTCCGACGAATTGTGAACCTCCTCCTTAAAAAGAATTATGACAATCGATTCACAATAATTAGAGAAGATATCGTTGTTTTTCAGGCACTGCTTAAGGCACTGTTTGCGAGTTCTTCAGCAACTTTTTTCAATATACTTCTAATATTACTTATATATTTCTATTTGTTCAGGGACTAATGAAAACCTATGTTAGAAATATAACTTAGGAATAATGTAGCGTTCTATTGTTAAAAAGCCTTCAGAAATGGTTAATAGTTTCAGAGATCAACTTTTATATATAAACTTGTATCTTATTTATATCAAAATGAAGGATTTTTTACTATTACTCTTTTATTATAATTTTTTAATTAGAATTATACGGGGTTATAGTTCTTTCAACAGTTCAATTAAGTGAATAAGCTTTAAAAATATTTAATCGTTTATGCGACAGGTGGATGCAGCGATTAAACGCTTTATATGCGATCGCTAGACGACTACTAAAAGGAATTGCATTATGCAGCCATTAAAATGCGCGATTTTCATATTTTATATTAAAATTCATCAAAACTTTTGTCTATAAAATTATTATGTATTGCCAGAACAGCTCAGTTATTCTTTATTCTTCTTTCTAATTTTAATTTTTAATATTTGACCACTTATTAAATAAAGAAAATTGTTAATAAAATTGAATGAATTGAAATTTAAATATTATATGTGTTGCGAATATTAAAAAGAAACAAAAAATGACTTAGAAATTTAATTAATTTCTTAGAACTTTACCTGGAGGTGTTAAAATATAAAGTGCTTTATGTAAAAGTCACACTTACGGGCAGTAAGTACGTATATGATAATCTGCAATGTTAACATATGGGTAGTAGGTACAAGTTGATAGTAACAGAAAGGCGAAAACAAGAGATTCAACTTTAGGAACCTTAGATCCTTGTTTTAATATTCTAGTTGGGGTTAACTTGAAATCTCGGCCACGTCATTTGCTCCAGATTTTATATTTTATTTATCATTTTAGTTTCTTTCTATTATTTCTTGATGGTGCGCCAAATTTATTTGTATTTCAGAGAAAAATTCGCTTGTGCGGTTGCATTTTTATACATTTTTCAGTAAAATAATTCTGACAGTATGAAACCGTATTTATCGAAAGCAAACAATCCATTTGCTGTGACTTAAATAAAAAAAAATTGTGCATGAAACCTTTACGCGCGGTTCTTTGGCACTGTGGTAGATACCGCAATTAAATTAAAGCAAATCAAAATATAAATATAATAATTTTTATACAATTATTAGTAGGTCCGTTTTACGGTTAGTATGGAATATACAGATTATATATTATAGTACATATATATTATATACGAGTACATAGGTTACAAACAAGTTACAAACAAATATATAAATATAAAATTATTGATGATGTGGGATTGAGGATACCAACAATAAAACCACCAACCGCACCACAAGCACCTGAATACATTAATTAACTTTTCAATACTTTATTACATCTATGCAGTTTGCTTCCTTCTTTAAAAGTAAAACTTTCCCATACAACATGGCCGAACACACTCTGTTCCTTTCACTCATTTTTTCTTTCTTTCACACTAAACACATTAGTTATATTAGCTTTTATTTAATTTATGCACATTCATCCCATAGTAATAAATATTTATTTTTATAAGTAAAAACTCAACCGAAACGGCTTAACCGATTCTTATGAAATTTTGTGTGCATATTCAGTAGATCCCCGAATAGGACGTAAGCTATTTTTTATACCCCTAAGTGATAAGGGTGGTTCACCCAAAAAACATTTTTTTTGGACAAGCTTTTTTATTTAATTTTTTTATGATTTGGCATTAAAAATATATACAAGCCTAAATAAAATAAAATTATTAATAGTAATTTTGACTTTTATTTCGGCGACACCCATTTTTCTAATGTTGACTTACCCCTCAGTCACACCTAAAGAAGTTTTACTTCAAACAAAGATTTTTGCTTATAGTTTTATCTAATGAGGATCCGGAACGTTTTTAGTTGAGAATGCAGATTTATAGAGCTAAAAAACCCTTAACATACAGTGCAAAAATTTTTGTTCTACGACAAAAATTGACGAAGTTATGAAGAAATTACTAGCGAAGTTCACTGCGTGGCCGCCGCGATAGCTGTGACGTCATAGTGACGGTCGCCGCCAGTAAGCCGCTGGCAGCAATAAGGCGCGCAGTG